TGTGAAAACAACCTAAATGTCCATAGATGGATAAATGGGTTTTAAAAATGTGACATATATATGAAATGAAATATTATTCAGCCTTTAAAAAAGAAGAAAATCCTGCAATGTACAATGACATGGATAAACTTTGTGGACACTGTACTAAGTGAAATAAGCCAGTAATAGAAAGACAGATACTGCGTGATACCACTTATATGAGACATGTAAAACAGTCAAACACACAGAGGCAGAGAGTAGAATGGTGCTTGCCACGGGCTGGGCACAGGGGGAAATGGACAGTTACTATTCAACAGGTATAAAGTTGCAGTTATACAAGATGATTAAGGTCCGGAGATCTGTTGTACAACATTAGCCTATAGTTGACATTAATATATTATACACTTAAAATTTTGTTAAGAGAGTAAATCTCATGCTACGTGTTTGTATCGCAATAAAAAAATAGAGAGAGGTGGCTTTAAGGTCCTCAAGAAAGACACATTCCTGGGCTGTAAAGGTGGCAAGAGGCTATTTAGCCTTTAAAAAGATGTATCTGAATTTCAAAAATACAGAGAAAGAATTTACAAGAAACTGCTCCAAGAAAGGAGGGGGAAAGGTCTCTTTTCCTTCTTATACTAGAGAAAATTAAGCCTATTTTTAATTTGTATTTGCCTTTAAACCTCTGTGTATCTTCTTTTTTTGCCCTCAGCCTCCCCTTTATCTATATTCTTTCATTCTTCTTTAGGTTGTGGAAGGCAAAAATATAATTTCTGTCTGCATTACATAATGCCCATTTTCTGAGTTATAGTTCAAATGGATCTCCAAGGCTATATCCAAGGCTGTCAAGCCACAGAACTTCATGAGTCAATGCCCACCTAGAATGCAATGTAAGCATTGCTCCTGGAGATGTGCAGAGCAAAGGCCCTGGCTCCATCTACACTACCTTACACAGCCCTTCAGTAGAAAGAGCCTCTAGTGATTAAGAGCCTCTAGTGATTACATAGCACTTTCTGAGATATTATCTCATGTAAGTCTTATAATAATATAGAGAGCTAAAACCATTTTATACTTGAAAAGACTGAGAGAAAAAAAATAACTTAGCAAGATCATGCAGTAGTTATCAGAGCCAGAACCATAACCCAGGTCTCCTGACTCCTAAGCTGGTGCTCTTTCTATGAGAGCACTGAGCC